GCGCTGCCCGCGGCCCCGGGGCTGCCGGGGCGGGTGCGAGGCCTCGGGCCGCCGTGAAGTGTAAAAATATCCTTCCCCGTCGTGTCTGTGCAGCTGGAAACGCGGCCCGAAGTTGCTGTCTCTGCTACGAGTTCTCGCCTGAGGTTTTATTTGCAATTCATCTTTCTCGCGAGTGCTTTGGGTATTTTTGTAGATCTTTGGTTTAGCTAAGACGTCTCTAGATTTGTTTTGGTTTTTTGTGTTGCTTTTCCCTTCATTATTAATAATTTTGGTGTTGGCCCAGGCACTAAATCTTGTTTTCTGGCTTATTTGTGGCTTCTCTTGCAGTTTTGCGTAAGGTCTGATGAGCCGCTTTGTTTTATAACCCAGAGTTTGCTTAACTTCCTTCAGAGCAGATGTGTATGCTGAGGGGGTAAAGCGTTTCTTGGGCAGTGTTTTAGTAATTCTACCTGTGGCATTATATGGATTCTACAAATGAAAACATTTTACTCGGCTTCTATTGTGTGCAAAACATGGAAAAAAATGTAAGTCGAGAAACCCGCCAGTTTGGGGATTTTTTGTTGTTGTGGTTTTTTTCCAAAATCAAGAGTGGCCTTGTTCCTATTTTTGTTACAGATTTTCTTTAGTCAAAACCATTCCAGATTCCATGCTGAAAACATAGGTGTTTCTAGACATGATGAAGTTGTAGGACTGACTAGCTTTGAACCTCTGTGCAGTTCATAGGAGCCTGAATAATTACATTTTATCAAAGCAGCTGACCTATTTCTATGGAGTTGTTTCTTGTTCATATTTACAGGGATCCAAATCCGTTGATTTTGGTGGCAATGCCCATTCAGAAGCAATCCTGTTTTGTGCTTACGATGATGTCTACTTACATTTCTTACTTTCTGGTCTTACAGCTCATTAGATTTGGTGCCTATCTTAATATATTAATACTGTTATCCTAATTTTTGCAGCGTGTTCTTCTTCTTGTTGCTTCAGATGTTGATGCATTATGTGCTTGTAAAATACTCCAGGTAAGTCTTTTGTTCATTTTCACTGCAAGCCAACAGTAAAAGGAATAATGCCCTGGGATCCTTTTAATAGCTTTGAACTGGGGAAAGTATGAATGTTTAATCTATTTTTACAATTTATTTATTCCATGACTTATGACACTGAAAACTGGAAAGTCATACTCCCAAAGTTCACATAGGTCTGTTATTTGAGATGTCTTCAAGACAAAGATTTGTAGCAATGGAACTACAGCATGGTATAGTTTGTAAAAGAGGTTGTTGTTTCCTCTCATCTTTCCTAACAGGTGGGGTTTTTGTTTTTTTCAGGCTTTGTTTCAATGTGACCATGTGCAATACACACTTGTCCCAGTATCTGGATGGCAAGAACTTGAAACTGCCTTTCTTGAGCATAAGGATCAGGTGAGAAAATACTGGAAATAATTTTAAGAAGCAGCTCCTCTTATATAGACATTAATTTCTTCCCTTGATGCAACTTAAAATGGCAGCTCCTAAACTGATTGTTGTTAGCAGTTAACTCAAAATAGGGCTTAAATTTTTACATACCAGTAATAACCTTGTCAAGTTTTTACATCAGCTCAGACTAATGTGCTATAATTTTCATAGATTCAACTTAAGTTGGGCATGTTTTGAGATATAAAAGGGGGTTGTATTGGATGCCTGTCAATTCTGAATTTGGTGTTTTGTTTTACTAATTTTTTTTCTCTATTAAATATCAGAAAATAAATAAAAGTTTTGGCAATGATGAGTGCTTTAGAGGTTTTGTGAAGATGTTTTCAGTCTTCTATGTTTCCTGCCAGTTGAAGTAAAAATCTTTTTTTATGTGTTTTGTTCTTTTCCTTCTTTTTTTCCAGTTTAAGTATTTTGTTCTTATTAATTGTGGTGCCAATGTTGACCTTCTGGAGATCTTGCAGCCTGAGGAAGACACTTATTTTTTTGTATGTGACAGCCACAGACCTATCAATGTAGTGAATGTTTACAATGACACACAGGTAAGCACTTCTATAACCAAAATTTTTGCACAAAGTGGTTGTATAAGGACTTCTCTGTATTTTGCAAAACTGTTTACAGTTTTAGCTAGTGGGTTTGGAAGCAGTATTAATGGATATTTGCAGTTGTAATGTACACAATCAGAAAAAACCAAAATGTTTTCAGTAATAAAACATATACATTAATCATGTGATAGTTGTCAGTAGGAAGCACTTGTTAATTCTGTTGCTGTACATGAAACTGCTACAAATCAAAGGTTAAACAGCCTCCAGAATGTAACATGTTTCAGCATCTAGCAGCACTTGGAGTATTAAGCTCAAATTGTTTGACAACAGGACTTCAAAAAGCATTAAAAAAAGATAATTCTTTCAGTAATGCTGTAATTGCAGAATCACAGAATGCCAGGAGTTGGAAGGGACCTCTGGAGATCATCTGTAATCAATAAATAAAATTTTACTCTAATTTTGTATGAATAAGAATGGTCTTTGTATTAAAAGTAGCATTTTTGTTATGCCAGTAATCAGTTATAGAAAAAACAAATTTTTAGTTTCTCTTACTCTGTATCTGCAGTATTCTAATTTGTCTAAATAAAACAATTTATTTTAAATGTTTTATTTCTTGCTAGATTAAACTGTTAGTTAAACAAGACGATGATCTCGATGTTCCTGCCTATGATGACATCTTCAGAGATGAAGAGGATGAAGAAGAGGACTCAGAGAATGAAAGTGATGGGTCAGAACCTTCAGAAAAGCGCAGACGTTTTGAAGAGGTGTGTTTCTGCTACTTTGCTGTGAAAAGATGGAAAATAAAACAGTTGTTACATGTACTTTACCATCATGGTCATGAGTTTAAAAACTGTTCCATTAGATCACAAATTCAACTGTAAGATTTAAAAATAATCTACTAAAACCAGTTGAGTTTCACATATACAGAATGTTTCATTAACTGCTCTGCACATAAATATTTTCTTCGTATAAAAAAGCAAGGTTTGAACTTGATTGTGCATAACTGTGTAATCAAATAAGTGTGTAACTGAAGAGATGGATCTCTGATTATGTGTTCTGGGCTTCTCAGTCTAGCAAACAACTTATTAGATATAAACTTTGTTTTTAATAGTTGTTTGAGAAGAAAAATAATTTAGCAATACATTTTGTCAGTCTGTGTAGCAGTAAATAACAAGTATGTTAGGGTAGACACAAAACATTATATTTGCTGTATGTTGTTAGAGCATATTTTCCATTTATACCATACAAGGAAGCAAAGGCTTGAGGGCAGTCATATTAGAAGAAAATTAAATGTAAAGACATTCTCAGATTTAATATGTATGTAATATTACTTTTCTATTAACTTTGTCCATTTTAGCTCCTTTTCTAGATTAGTAGGGAACTCAACAAAAGCAGGAAGTCATAGGAAAATCTCTAAATTATATACTCAAAAGCTAGTCTAGAAGCTGTTAATTTTTTTTTTTCAAGCTGATTATGCAATGTATAGAGTTTAAATATATAAGGAAGGAGAACATCCAAACATCCAAGTTAATTAAAACATCCAAATTAATTTCCAGGATGTAATAGAGAGAACCATGAAACGGCGACAAAGGCGAGAATGGGAGGCACGCAGGTGTGTTTTCCTCTCTTAATGGTGCTTGCACCTCTTTTACTTTCTCTTCTTCTTTGATTAAAATCTTGTTGACAATACAAAACTGTGACACTGCTGCTTGATTTGCAGGATGCCTTAATTCTAACTTTATTCAGAAATTGGAGAGAGGCATTTACTACATAAAAATAAAATATTTAAATGGAGGATAGTTGTAAATAGCAATTTATATATTTAAGTAGGGTTAGGTGCATTGCCTTCTGTTGAAGGTGCTTCAGTGTTCTTACCTTGTCTATTTTAGTGTAAAATTTGCTTCAGTTTTGTTCCTTTACAAATCCCACTATTGTCAATAGGAATGAGCAGGAACAAATCTGATAAGAAAATAGGATTTGAGGAATAACAAATGAATACATTATTTTCTTTTTACTTGATGAGTACATTTCAATGTGGTTTCCACTTTGCAACTAAAATCTAACTGCCTGCTAGAATCGTTTTAAGCCCAAGTTTATTTTTTTTACTTGCTAAAACAAAATTTAGATTTTCTTTTACAATTCTTGGCTTCTGTTTTTAATTGAATCTAGTGATCAATTTACCACTCAAATGTTTTATTTATTTGTTTTCTTTTTTAGAAGAGA